GACAATCAAATATAAATTTTAATTTTTTAAAGGTTTTTATATTTAATAATGATATTTTAATTATATCAATAAAATTAAATTTTTATGAAGATAATAATTACGTATGTGTTTTTATATCTTTTCAGTTGCCTCGTGATAAATTAACAGATTTTGTAATTGATTTTAGTAATAAGTTCTCAGATTTTGCTGGAAAAATGTTTAAGAGAGGTGTAGTTGAAGCTATAAAGGTAAACATTTCATTTTCTTCATCATTTTTTGAATTACAAATGTTTCAAGCAATTATGACAGAAATACAAAAATTTGACAGTTTCTGTATTTCTCTTATATGAAATATCTTAATTTTTATAGATTATTAAAAGTTCTCATTTTTCGAATGATCAAAAAATTTATACATTTTATTTTATGCATTAGTATACAAAGTTTAAAAAATTAAATACATAAAAATAATTAAATAATAGTTAAATATGCAAAAATAGTTGCTACACCTTTTATTGTAACTACGATAAAATCCAACTTTCTTCTCCGACACTCTTGAATTCTCCAGTTGCTGCCATTTGCAAACTGGAGCACCACATTAAACATCTGTCCATTTTGAGGTCTGGGCTAAAGAATGTCCTTCTCTTAGGGCCTCTTTTCTTTCATTGTCCTCCATGATTCCAAGAATTGGTCATTGCACCCAAGGGAAAAGAGTTAGAAAGGAAAGTTCTGGAAACAAGAAGAATTAAAGAACAAAGGAGAGGACTAAACTATACTTAAATTAATATATACAGAATGGCATGCTACTGCAGTGGTAATATTCAGTTTGATTCCAAGGTTTATGAAGCTGTATGATACTCAACAGATACACATGGGGTTCATATAGGCAAACTAGGCGATGGTCTAGGGCGCTTGAATTCTGGGGGGGCGGCATGGCAAAAGTACATGCATAAATGACAATAAATAATGAAAAAATAAATGTTTTTTGATCACAATCCTTTCTCACATGTTGACCTGTGAGTTGCCATTTTGAAAGTAGCGCTGTAGTCTCACGATCGCGATATTGCATGCTGCATATTGAATAAAAATTAGATACTCTATTTTACATTGGTGTTTTATATTGTTGCAATTTTTTTTAAAATGGGACAATGTCAAAGCCATTTGCCTAGGGCACTGAGTTTGCTCAGGCTGGCAGTGGATACACACATCCCATTAGTAATTGTAGATATTTAAAAACAAAATAAAAATACTGTTTTCCTTTCCTTCAAATAGATACTAAGTTGTTAGGACAAAAAGAGATTCATTTGTTTGAACTTAACTATTTAATAAGTAAACTGTTAGGTATTTCTTTTAGTTTAGGGATATGAAGAAATTTCTAAGACACGAAGGGTGCTATGAACGGAAAAAGTTTGGGAATTACTGGTTTATAGTATTATCTTGTTTGTCTTTCTCACAAGTTTAATTGAAAGTGTAAAAGTCTTTGCACAAAGTTCACATCTAGTTGAGGATTCAGGTCCTACTCCAGACTTGCTCTGGTCAGTTTTAAATTACTTATTTAAAATTTGTCTCTAGTTTTATTTATTATTAAAATCTTAATAATTTAATTTAAATTTATTTCTTAATTGTTTTCATAATTTTTAATTTCATAATTAATTAAAAATTTAATTTTAACATTTTGAATTGTAGGAAGTTGCTGTGAGAGCAGAAGTAGATATAGCAGACAATGATTCAGCCAGATTTCTTACTTGGGCAAAAGAAGGTTTTTGTACAAATTCTAAGAGACCAGCACCATATGCACCTGATTCTAGTAAGTTTCTACTCTCAGATCATGATACTTACAGAACTTGTATATTATAAATCCAGATTTAAAAATAATTTGTATTTATTATCTTTATAATTTTCTAATTACAATCTAAATACCTGTGTGACAGTGTGTGAGTGTAAAACACGTGATAATATGACAAAAAAAAGATCAAATCACTTTATTAGTTGAATGAGTTGACAGAGAACGAAATGCCCATCACGGAGACAATTATATACAAATATAATCACAAATTTGGTAATTTACCTCAAACTCATATTCCAAACTTTGCTTGCATAAGATTTGTCTTCCTGATTTTCAAGAACAAATTAAATACTTTGATTGTATAATTTTATATAAATATTTTAACGGTCTCATATCACCATATTGGTTGCATCTGAGAATTCCAGGTAGATTAATCCATAATTCAACTTTGTATATCCACTCTTCATTTTCGTTTATCAATATTCTAATAGATCTTTATTTTATCACATATCCAGTGGTGATATTCAGCGGGTTCGCACAGGTTCGGCCGAACCTGTTGTTAACATTTTCAAAGTTTTCCGAACCTTGTTAAACACACGTAACATTTCTCAGTGGTTTTGTTTCTTTTAAAAAATATATAAAAATATATGTATTATAATTGAGGTACACTCACTCAGCAGTATGTAAATCAAAAAACAAATTAAGGTGGTGTGTTTTTTGATATATGTATTATACTCTGTAACACTACTAAACTAGAGCCTTATTCTCTGTTCGCCTTAGCCGACTGTTTCAATCTCGACTGAAACGAGGTTCAATCGCGATCGACTCAAGAGAGTTCTTGAAACTAGATCCAATCATAAGAGAGATCCCACAATCCCACGCGCGCGAGAAAATACAAGATGGCTGCGGAACACCTGTCAGGCTATCGACAGTGAAATAAAAAAGATATTGTATTTCGAGAGACAATGACATCTGTCTATTATTAGATATATCACAAGAAAAAGTATTGTATTTATTTCTAACCAAAACTTCCATTTTGTTTGTCTGTGTTCGTGACTTACCGCGTAGTTATTTCAGTTTTATCATCGCGTGTAATATATATCTTTTTTTTATTTATATGGGTATCTTAAGGTCAGTTTTTGCACTAATGTTGCTAATGCACCATTTGAGCAAAAAGAAATTGTTAAAGAAAAATTTTCTGGTAGTGAACCCTTTGTTAAATATTTTGAATATCACCACTGCACATATCTGAAAGTATTATTGCAATAGAAAATCAGCTTCATGCAACATTCTCTAGATGTAAATTATTGTGTAAACACCTTTTATTTAATTTAGGATAATATTACCTTTTGAGGCCAAAATGAGGTTTTTTTTTACATGTTTTTATGTAAATGCTCACATGTTTATTTTGTCAGAGTTTTTGCATTTTTATGTGTTTTTACTGTGATGTTTGTAGCGAAGGTTATATAGTCCCATGAACAGGAAAACATAAAAGAAATGCAAAACAGAAATATTTATGTACCACAGATCAATTTTGTTTGCTTTGAATCGGTTCATAATTTAGGGATCCCAACTTATTTTTCGATAATCCACATATATACAGTAATCATACATTTTGGTCTTAGGAGTTAGAAAGATCGAGTTGCGACAAAAATTTCATGTGAGGAGACTTACAACTATAACTTAATCTACTTACAAACTAAGGAAAAGGAAGAAGATATTGAATATATGAGTAAGGATAGAAGTAGAGGAAGGAAGAAATACCCAGGAACTCTCAGCCACGTAATCTCAGATGGGTCACTGTCCTATAATATTCGTCTAATTTCTGCTATTCTTCTTATTTTCTCTCTGTCCTCTCAAGATACCTTTTTTGGAGTATCTTCAGAAATCTCTCACTAAGAATCCTTAACAGGAGAGTTTCGACCTCAGTCACAATAGTCCTTAGCCTCCAATCTCTGTTCAATATTTGGAGCACTACACAATCTGACATCACTCACTGGTCTCTCTTCCCAAAACTTAGCAAGGCCTCATTGCCTCTGATATGTCTCTATGTGATCAGGAGAATGACCCTTTTGCCTTCCTCTCTCGATGAACTCCAGACCATAACAGCACTTCCCACACTTTCAAACCCCTTGCTCCTTTTGTTTCTCCACATTATTTCTAAGAACCAGTGATTCCACTCAAAGGAAAAGGAATTAAGAAAGAAAGTTCTAGAATAGTGAAGACAAAGAACAAAGGAAAGCCTAAAATATAATGATTAACAAAAATATATATACATTAATATGGCCGACGGCCACATACATGTTTATAGTGTTTTTACACGTTTTGACTGTTTTTTATGTATTTTAGTGTATTCATGTGCCTTTTTTTCTGCATATAGTGTTTTTATGCGATTTTCTTTTTGTATCTTTTTAGCTGTGTTGTTTTTACATCCTTATACGTATCCTCTTTAAAATTGTTGGGTTTTTATATCTTTCTTTTTACTGTTGTTGAGGTTTCATTAAATGGGGATTGGAGATCAATAGCCAACTGGCGTTTTCTATTTGTTATGAAATAAATAAATAAAATCACATTACAGTGGCTGCCACACACAAACACATGTTACATAAGAAATTTTTAAACACAGATACATACACAAATGGCCATTAACAAAACATTTGTTTTTTGCAGTTATGCTTTGATTTTGATTTTTCCATAACACTAGGCTCTAGTATGGAAACGCCTTGTTAGATACATTTTACCAACAGTCTTAGTTTCAATCATTGCATAACATGTACTTGCTTTCAATAACATTTTTTTATAACTTGATTGAAGAAAGCAAAGTTTTGACAATACTAGCTATTTAAGTTTGAATTAAATTTTAAATATTTTGATAATTTAACTTGAATTAACATTTTTCTTTATTTTTATAAATTATTTTCAGCCAAACCAGTTCCTGAGAATGTGCGAAAGCATTTGAATAGAATAAAATCTCAATATCTTCAAGCTTTGCAATCACTTGAATTTAATAATATTTTGCCACCCAGATTTTCAAGACTAGAACAATTAGAAAATAAAGGTAAAGTTGAAATTTAAATAAATTTATATGGCATATCTTTAATTTAAATTTTATATTTATTGTACATGTACTCATTTATTATTATCTCTTACANCCTTCTCAGACTATGAGGACTTCCATGCATCCTCTCCGAAATCAACTTAAGAGTGACCAGTTTCTCTTTCCCCTTTGGGCCTATTATTGTTCTCTCTATTGTTACCAATGTTTCTCAGAACAGACCCTCCACATTGTTACTTTCTGTTAATTTTGTAACTAATTATTTATCATATTATAAATTTTAAAATATGTAATATCTTTTATGAAAAATTCAGATTAATAAATGATGTTAAAATTCACAAGTTTAGAAAAAACATTTAAACATAAGTAAAAATCTCTTCATATCTCATCCTCTTCCACATTCCTCAGAAACGCAATGTTCACATGGCAGAGTTGACCTTTATTTTCAGACGTTTATTCATCACAATATGCAAAGTTCATTAAAACTGGGTCTTTCTAGTGATGATGATGTATAAAAATATAAAAAATATTTTAATCAACTATATAAGTTGTAATATATTATAAGATTATGAATACAACTATTTCAAGATTCTTGTCAAAAACAGTTTCAATCAAAACATATTAGACTTTCTTTGATAATTTTGGACTTTTCAATGTTTAGCAATATAATTTGACTTAAAGAGAGATGTGTTGCCACCTATACCTAATATATAAAGAAGAGAGTTAACAGTGAAACTTTTCAGGGACCATCCTCTCATTCCAGGAGGAGGTCAACAACTACTTTTGGTTGAATTAACTCTAACTCTATCCACAACAGGCTCCTTTCTATTTAGCCAGTGGGATGGTAACATTTGAATAGGAAAATTACTTGATGCAAAGTTACCAGGAAGCATAAAATATGTTTTTAGGGATTTCAAAGGACGGAGTTTAAATATTTTGTCCATTTTTCATGAAATTTGACTGTTTGGCCAATTACCATTTTATATTTGGTTAGAAATAGTATGTTAGAGTTAACATTAGAAAAAGTTTGGATATAATACAACCTCCACAAAACTGGATAATTATAAATGATACAAAATTAAACAAAATTTCAGTAAAAAGACGTAATATTTACCAATAAACAAACGTTTTCAACTATGATTATTAGGTTAAACCTCAGTGTTCAAAAATAAAACACATCATCACCCTTTTAATGATGGTGAAGTACTGTCTGGGTTATTGCTGTAGTGATGTAGAAAAATTAAAACATGACCACAAATAAAGATCTCCAGGCCTGATGTAGGAAGTGTTAGTTTTAATTTTCCTACATTACTACGGCAATGACCAATCATACAGCACTTCACCATTATTAACTACTTACTATGGGAATAGTCATATCTGGCAAAACCAACGTACACAAGTAATCTCATAGATGGTGCCTGTTGTTTGATTGCCAACTGCGAAATAATTCATAGTTGACAACTGAATGTGTTAAAGCTGAAAGCTGTTAAAAATGTTTGTTTATTGGTAAATATTACATGTTTTTTACTGGAATTTGGTTTAATGTTGTGTTAAAAAAATTTGGATATCTTGAATTGTCTTCTCATTCAGGCAGAAATCAATGACTATTTTCTGTTGAAAAACATAAATTTTTGTCTACCTGACCAATGAAATTGCATTATTTTGCACCATCCAAGTATTATAAAAACATGGCAATGATAGGCTAAAATACTTAATATGGTTTTCATTTTAATGTTTGTTGTTCTTACTTTTTGCCCAGGCAATGCCAGGCATATCTGCTAGTTAATTAATAATTAGAATTAATTTATCTATCAATTAACAATATATTTATAACTAGAGAGAGATATGAATTTATAAATCCTGTAATAAAGCAGTTATGTCATTTAGTCTCCAGCTCACTTTGATCTCTAGATGTACTGTACAGTTGGCCTTTATATAATACTATAATATCTCATATAGTGTGAAACCATGATATACAGGGCTAAGAACAAGTACAAAATGGAAGATTACATTCCAAAAGTAAAAAAATGTCATTTTATTTTATTTATTTTATAACTATCAGAAATTTAATTTTTATTAAATGTAGTAATAATTGAACAAATACCTTACAAACTATGATACACATATTTGTATTTAGCAGATAGTATTACAGATGATAACATATGAGAGCAATTGGTGACCTTTCTGACCTCACCGATCACTAAACTCACAATTTTGAATCCCACAGACCACTATCATAAATATTTTTTTTAGATGATACAAACATCTATAAAATAATGATCATAAAAATTCCATTTTACTTTATTAATATGAAATTCATTTGTTTAGTTATAACAAATTAGTGTAAAGTTTGTTGCTGCTTGTTTGAAATTAAGTTTATGGATTCTTGGTTCTTTTCCATGAAGGATGACAATTGCACTCACAACATTATTTATTGATTTATTAACATTATTATTTATTGATAACAGTCATTTCATGTTTGGCTTTAGATTTAAATAAAAACACTCTCAAATAAGTGAGAAAAAGCAATTAAGAATTTTGCATTTCTTTCATAATGCTTTGCTTAACCTTGAGTTGATCAATGTCCAATTTTCTCACAGACAATCAATGATCTATGGACTACTAGTTGACAACTGCTGACATATGATACAGATTATGTACGTTTGTGTAATTTGTTTCCTGTTCATTGCTATAGAGATGTTCCTAGGTGGACTAAAATAAAGTATCAGACATATAATTGTTCAATACAGATCAAGTTCAATAGAGACCATTCCACTTTGCACAAAATAAAGAAAAAACATTTACTCCCTTTTGAATGTCCATTGTGATGTTTTGAATACCCAGATAAAGTAATCAATTGTAATTATGGTATATATAAAAAAAGAAAGCCATTAAAACCAAAATAACCAGCAGAAAAAGATGAAAGAGTTTAAATGTTAACTCTTTCATCTTTTTCTGCTGGTTATTTTGGTTTTGTTACTGTTTTCTATCAAGTTTACCCAGTTGTGAGTGATTGTGTGTTATGGTAAAAGTGGGAATCTTCTCATTTTACATATTACAACTACAAGTTTAAGATTACATCAATCAAAGCCAAATGATTGCTGTAATAAATCAGGCTATTTTTCTGCTACTATGAATAATTAAATTCTAAGTAATTTGGTACTAGAGGTAGGGTTGATTCTTTTCTTCCAGAATATCCTAAATTATTTAATAAATATTAACTTAATTATAATTATTAAATTTAATAAGATATGACACCTAATGCCTACCTCTATTACCAAATTACTTAGAATTTAATTATTAATAGTAGCATTAAAATAGGTTGATTTATTACGACAATCATTTTGTATTGATTAATAACATTGCACTTTGAGATGTTTATATATGATGATATTGATGATACACAACACCAAAATTTTAATGATCATACAAGGAGTCACTTTTATTAATGAAGTAAAATATTCTTCAAGATGGTTTACGTCTGCAAGTCTAAAGACAAGTCTTTCTTTCACTTTTTTTAGTTGTTATTACATATTTTTAAGTACAAAATTATTAAATCTTAGAATTTTTCTAGGTCATATAAAATATTAATTTGTATGATTTAAAGATAAATGTATTGACTATTTCATGAAAATAGAGTTTAGAATTGATTTAGTAATTTAATTTTATTATTTTTCCTTATAGATAGTGTATTAAAAAAAGTTCGTGAAGGTACTCTGAAAATAGAAGGTAAAAATAATTTAAATTACATATGTTTTTACTATTAGTAAGTAATTTAGCTTTAGTGAATTAAAGAATGGTTTAAAGAAATATAAACATTGATCATCCTGATTGACATTTGATTAATTGTAGCATTAATACAGCTCAATATAATCTGGCAATCATTTGGGGTTTAAAGAAATTTATATTATGCTTGTTTACACCAGTGATATTGAATTATTTAAAACTATTTGAATTATGGAATAGGAAAGATACTTAATTATATTAATAATAAAAGTTCTAGGAGGCGAAAGAAAAAAGAAACCAAATTTGGTTTAAATATTTTAAAGCCTAACTAATTTAAATCTGACTACTACCCTTTATACAGTGATCCAACTGTTTCTGCCAAGCTTCAAACACTTGAAAATTATTATTTCAAAAATTCCAAAGCACCTGTTGTGATTTGGATTCGCTATCCTTGACTATCTTGAGATGACATTCAAAATGACATCTCAAGCTTTTCATTTGGAGAACAAACAGAAGTCACAAAATTTTAAATCATGAAAGTAAGGAGGATGGGAGAAGATGATTGTCATGTTGTTTTATGCCAAAAATGCTCATGTTTTGAAGGCACGGTATGCAAAAGTGTTGTCATGATGGAGCCTGGTTCAGTTGTGCTATAAGTTGGTCTTCTGCTACAAATATCCTCTGCAGTTGACTCAAAATGTCACAGTAAAAATCTGAATTCACTATCTTACTGGGAGGAACAAATTCCTAGTAAATGATCCCTTTAAAGTTAAAAAATTATTAACATGCTCTTCGTTGTGCTCCTGACTTGTCATGTCTTCTTGAATCTTGGAGATTGTGGCCTTGTCCATTGCTTAGTTGCTACAGACTTCCCAAAGTATTTCAAGGATCTTTGTAGCAGATTTTTAAAGTTTATTACAAAATTTAACATTTGCTCAATTTTCAAGTTTACTTCAAATCACAGCATGACAATAACACAATGTTACAAAATTGCAGACAATTCTTGTAAAACTCGAAAAGGATTGATGTGTTCCGGACGTGGCAATGTTAGATCAGATTTGACTTGCGTTCAATATTTGTATCTATACTGTTTCTATACTGACTTAACTTTAACAAGCATTTACTTATTGTGACATTGTCACAATGTCAGGCTGCAATTTTTGATTGCAGTACTCTGTTTTAGTACTCTGCTCCTGTACATCATACTTTTCCTGTTGACATCAACAATAGAGTCATGCTGGTCATCTATTTATCTCCATTCAGAGGATTTTTGAATTGAAATAATGTGACTTTCAGTCCAAACCAAACAGTATACAGTTAATTGTGGCCTCTTATAACTGAGGTTTCCATATCTTGTCTTGACTTTCATCCCTCTAATACAGGCATGGCCAACATACGGCCTGCGGGCCGGATCTGGCCCATCTAATGAATTTATGTGGCCCGCGATCAATCTTTCAATATTAGCTATTCAAGTCTGAATAGCTCAATGAAAAATTCTGACACCTAAAAAAAAACAAGTCAACTCGTCTGCATTTAGAGTTAACCCTCCATTACAAATCTCATAAGTACAGCGTGGAATGTTGATAAAGCATGATGATGTGAAAAATGTATCTGTAATCTCTATCTACAATTTAGTCTCTACGGGGTGACACCGCAATGAGATCTTGCACCACCTCAAAAATCTTCCTATGGCAGCCTCTGGTTTGGTCCATGGAAAAAGTTTTTTTTCCAATTTGGCCCAGGGGCAAAAACTGTTGGCCACCCCTGCTCTAATACCATTCTCAAGATTAAGGACAGATGGACAACAGTGAGAATTTATAGGTGTACAAATTTTTCAAAGTGCAGTCCAATAACAAAAATTACCTTTCATTGTCTGCTTTTTCCTTTTCATTTCCCAACTAAGAGCAAACAAACCTCCACTCTGAAAAATATGTCCAATTTCCTTAATTTCCAAATCCAAAAACATCATCGGAAAACATATCAGATATTTTTTGTGTGTAAAAAGAGCTGGTGAAATTACAATTTAATACAGTAAAAATTACATTACAGATACTAGTCATATCTCACTACTTGCCATGTCCAATCACCAGGAACAACTATTTTCCATTGCAGAGACAACCTTCTTTTGAGGCTGTGCCTCTGCACAAATATGTAAAACAGTCTAGAGTGTCCACCAGTGACAATCCCAACACAATTAAAAATATAATATTTCTTTGTAATGAGATTGTCACCTCTAAAGAAAGGTTGTCTCTTCAATGGAAAATAGTTGTTCCTGGTGATTGGACATGGCAAGCAGTGAAGATATGACTAGTATCTGTAATGTAATTTTTACGTTATTAAATATTAGATATTTATTTATTTGTAAATATTCATCGCTCAAAAGAATTTAAAAATTTACAGTCAGAACATAATTAAATACCAAAAAAGTAGTCTGTCTGTAGAGGTGAAGCCATCTACAAACAGACTACTTTTTGGTAACAATGGCAGCAGACTATACAGATGGATATTTTCATTTTTTAACCTTGATAACTCACTTATTATAGCCCATAAAATGAAATAAGTTTGGAAATTGCATTATCAAACACTGCCTTTGTGCCAAAATTTATCAAAATTGGTGAGAGATATAGATGTAGTATTCATTGTTAATATTAATTGTCTGGTATCTTGTGTTTTACATGTTGAAATGTGATACATTAAAAATGCTTTAAGCATAGTTATTTTAAGTACATACTATAAATATAGTTAGCTACTATTAACCCAGTCTGTCAGTCTGAGCAGTAATTTTAAAGCTAATATTTGGCCAATATTTTCCAAATTGCAGAATTTCATTCTCTTCAAACTGTTTGAATTGTACAAAAGACTCTACAAATTTAAAATATAATAGAACTACTTTCTTTAATGGAGCTTTAATAAAACTTAATAAACTTTGAAAAAAGAAACAAATTTTTTCACTTTTAGATTCTTGTCCATCTTCAGGAAGTTCTCACAACACACAATATGATTACCATGGCAATGCATTCATTGTTAAGAAAGGAGAAGATAAAACAAAAAATTTATTATTAAGGAATTCTAATACAAATAACAGATTTTTGTTTCACCATCTGCTTTCATCTGTTCTTAATGCATTACCATAACAATAGAATTCTCATGATCCATAGCTATCATGGGAAATCTGGAAATTTTATGGATTTGGAAAATAGCGAGAATTTCATGGAAATTTGTCATTCTCTGTTAATATTATATGCTTTTATCCAAAGTAATTAAGAAACTGATGCAATGAGTGAGAAACTGTGTGCAAAGTTTCATTCATAGGAATTTTCCAAGTCATCTAACTTCATCAAAGGGTGCATTCAGAAATGAGTTTTATCAGAAATTGAGTGCTCGCTTTTTAGGTAAGGGCTGGCTTAAGTCTAGTGCTTATTGAGCACTTAATGAATATTCATTACAAATATAATTTTTGGCTTATGGGCATTACATAATACTATGTATTTTTGACATGTACTGTTGTAGATGAGCACACATACACTAATATATAAATTTAATTGAGATTAAATAGAAATTAACATTATAGGCTTCTGTCCATCAGTTTGTACTTTTCTGGTTTGAGTCGATTATGTATACTTTATGTTGATTTCCGGGAAGTGTTTTGCTATCTTTGTCTGACAGGCGGTAACTGTCTTGCTATTGATGCTAACCTTAAAGGCCTCATCCTCACTACCGAGCTGTTTATTGTTTATAGTCCTGCCAAATATTTATCAATGGTGTCCAATTATCAGATTGAGACTTGAATGTTACTCATAATGTAAATACATATATTGTACACAATTAATAAATATTTTACTGGATCAAGAACAGAGCATGACCAGATTGTAAGTGACTTGGAAATATGGATTGAATCTAAAGTTACTCAAAGTATATTTCTAAGTTAACGTTGATATTTCATTGATATAGTCTGGGTTTTGCATTACATCAAATTTGACTCCATGACTTCATCTTCATATTGATTGACATAAAGTGGCAATTTACTTTTGTAAATGACAGTTAAAAGAATTTTGTATTATTGCTATGTTATAAACTTAATAATTTTGCCATAAGTACAGAATAAGCTTTAAGTCTAATAATATTAGGGTACTAGAAATTTTTGATGATAACATGGAAAATTCATGGAAATTTACAATGACAAATTGCTGTGAATCCTAATTCTACATTCTAAAAATTACCTGAAGATGGATAAGATTTCAAAAGTATTTAAGTTTGTTTAATTTCCTAAGTTTTTAAGTTTATGTTCTATTAAAACAAATGTTTCTGAACAATTACAAGATTGATAATTTTTAAATTCCAACTAGATAAATTATATTTAAGATAAAAATTAAACAAGTTGTTGAAAATGTACCCTTTTATGTAATTTAATTTAACTAGTTATTGTTATATTTACTTTTATAGATGTTTGTATTGCTTGTGATTCTTCTTCAGTGGAAATTGTAGAACAACATCCACTTATTCATGGTGGTCTTTGTAAACAATGCAAGTATGATATTGTAGAAACAATGTTTGCTTATGGAGACGATGGCACAAATGTATGTTAAATGAAATTTATTTATAATTTATATGATTTGATCATTTTTTTTCAATTTTTAAATTAGCAATAATAATATAATGGAAAAGTAATGATCTTTCAGGCATATTGTGTGATTTGTGGTCAAGCTGGAGAGCTTCTCATCTGTGATAATAATGAATGCAATAGGTATGAACATTTATTTAATTTTTAAAGTTTTAATTAAAATCAATTATGATATTGAATTTTTGAAAATGATTTGTTCTAAGTTTTTGCTCATCTGTGCTAAGTCCATTATTATAGAACTATAAGCTGTAATCTATCAAAACTGACAGGAAAAAATACAAGATTTTTACCAAAAATTACGCAATTTTTAACTATAAAACTTTTTAATCACAACATTTCTCATAAAGACTATATTGCTTTCAATGATTTGCATATATCTTCATCTTGCTTCTACTATATAAACTTTAAGTTCTTGTAGTTGCAGTAACCTAATCCTAGCTACACCCCAATTTTGTCGGTCTTTGAATCTGAGCTTGCAAAAATTGATAAAATTGATCTATTTTAACTTGCAATAAAAAATATTGTTCTCCACAGATAACATTATCAAGTGAACTTTGTCAATGCAGTATTGGAATCTCGCTTTCAAAACAAAGAAAGTCCAACTTTTTTGGCGCTTGTGATAAAATTAATTTAAAATGAAAAATGGTTGAGGCATATATAATTTTTTAAATTTAAATATCAGTAAAACATGGTTTACCAAACCAGAAAATTATTTTAAAAATAAAGCTGAAATGTTTTTATATATAGTCACATTTTTTTAATGGGCCAAAGCTGCCAAATTTCCGCTTAGTTTCCAATATATTGTTTGATTCTAGCAATATGTTGACGTATGGTATTACATTCCATTTTTTTATATTCTGGCCCATTTCATGCAATTGTGAAGATTGAGTATTGACACAATGCTGACAAAAGCAATATACAAAATTTAATACCACGACACAATTGGTGAACAGATACAGTTAATACAACTTTATTTATACAGAACAAGTGTTGCAGGATCGTTTGTCGGGATCCCAACTAAGGTTGGATACCAGTGAATTTTCCCCATATTGGGAGTGCATGCAGTTACAGACCAAACAAAAGAAAAACATCTCGAGCATAACAGAAATAACCCAAAATTAATATTACCTTAAAACTACCTTACAATCTAAATAAGAGAAAAGTAGGATACAGAAATTAGGATAGAGATAGAAAGATCAATAATGAAAATACCTGGGATTTTGTCTGGGGATACTGTTCTTCACTTGCGAGATGGAGTCCACAATGAATTCTTCTGGCTTTATGATTTTCCATTTTTCATCACAAATATAATTCTGTTGCTTATCCAACTTTGTGTTGATTGAAAGTCTCGTGTTTGGAAAGGAGCACTAATAAAATTTATGTCCTGTCAAGCCATACTGTACTCGCTGAAGCTTAACCTGTTTTGCTCTTCCATTATTACCTTCTCAGACTATGAGGACTTCCATGCATCCTCTCCGAAATCAACTTAAGAGTGACCAGTTTCTCTTTCCCCTTTGGGCCTATTATTGTTCTCTCTATTGTTACCAATGTTTCTCAGAACAGACCCTCCACATTGACAAAAGAGGGATTAGAAAGGGAAGACAATAACAAAGGAAAGATGNTATATATATATATATATATGCATCTGGATATGCACATCACATCTTTATAAACTTGATTATCTATTATCTCTCTTCAACAATCAATGTTCCTAATGAAAACAGACATGTTTTATATTTGTAAATAGATTACTTCTCTGTGAATCCTTATTTTCAAACATATTTTTCTAAATCTATGTTGACTATCAAAAACATTTTCATTTAAAAATATGTTCTATTTCAGAGCATTTAATTTGTACTGGATGTTTAGTTTCTTTAAATGGATAGCAAGCTTCAGTAATAGAAATTAATAAATTAGTAATAATTGTGAACATGTAATATTCTATAAAAAATAAAGTGGAATTTGATACATAATATTGTATCATAAAAAGTTGATGAGTTAATGAAATATAACTATTTTGTTTAACTTAATTTTTTTGGTGAGTAATGAATATGGATTACGAAGTTAAATTTTTTTATTTCCACAAAAGAAAATATTCTTGCTATTTTGTGAATTGGTTTTCTCTTAACATATGCATAATAAATTTTTATTGTACTATTTACTCTTATATAATAGATATATTTTTTATAGGTGTTATTGTACAGGTTGCGTGGATGTTTTAGTGGCTCCTGGAGCTCATAAAAAGGTCTTTATTGAATATTAAATATAATTAAAATTTTCTGTAAGATAAATATATTATAATATTTTAGTAAAAATATCAAATTTTCTGTATTAAAGTAAATTAATTATTGAACATAGAAATAGAATAATTATTTTATATATGTTCAAAGTGTTATTAATTATAAATATTTTTTTTTTTGGAAAGTTTTTGGACCGCTTTTAATTTTGGCTTAATTTATAAAATGAAAATAAAAATTTTTAAAATATAAATATGTTTTTGTAAAATTTTTCGTAATATATAAAGAATGTAAAATGATGTAGTCTAAAAATTTCCAAAAATATAATATAGACCCATCTAAAAAAGTTAAATAATTCTGAATAACAGTTAAGGGCTTCCATTAATTACATGTACAGTTTAAAGGAGAGAGTTGAGGCATTATCTGCATGGACTTTTTAATGATATTTTAGTGCATTTGACCTTATAAGCATGCTTTCTAGTCATGTGATTAAAACTGTCAAAAAATATTTGCAGAACTTTTTAAGGACATGTCTCCGATGTCCATGAACTATAGTTCATGTAATTAAAAGGGAAAGAATTTGCCAAAATTACATCACTGTACACAACATGGAAGAAGGGGGTAAATATAACTTAAAAACTGTACACGTATTAATGGATGACCCCTAATTTAGTTATATTTTGTAAAACTATATTTATTTATTAAAAATAAAATATAATAATTTAATATAAAATATAAATCAAAGTAATTTCATTCATAAAGGTGCTAGCAACTAGTCCGTGGCTCTGTTACTTATGTTCAGAATATGATCCTGAATTAAATGGTTTAATTCGAAAAAAAGAGGAATGGCAACAAAATGTGATGCAGCTGTTTCAACCAGAAAAACATGTACAGTTACCACCATCAATGGATGATTACAAAGAAAAAAGGGCAATTAGAGTGCTATCATTATTTGATGGAATAGGAACAGGTTTCTGCCTATAATTTTTATTATGTTAATATTTATACTACAATGTTTTGTAAAATGGATATAGATAGAAAGTTCTCAGTTGATAAAACTTTAGATTTTGTAAATGATAATCCTAGGTAAAAAATACATATAAATACCAAAGTACCAAATATAATGTTTGAAACTTTTTTTTTTATCTTAGTTGGTTATTATAATTTTATAAAACATTTTTTTCTTTTTAATGATTATTCTATTAATTGTATAATGCAGGGGTCACTCTGGCTCTTTTATAGCAATCACTAACCCATTGACCAAACACATTTTTTTATTTGCCAAAACAGAATGTTGTTTGCCAGGTTATTTTTTCACTTACTGTGATTTATTGTACCAATCTGAAATGAAAGGACAACTGACAATATAAAAAAAAAAAATGCAGAGTTTTTTTATGACTGAGTTTCTCAAGCAACTTTATCTTTGTTTATTAACAGTAGACCAAGACCAATTCATGTCTGTGATACTCTTTTTTGCCAAGTAACTTTTTTCCAGACTGTGCTCTGGCTATCTGCCTCTCCAATCACCAGATGAATATAAATTGTAGTATTTTAAAATATTTTACTGGTTATTTAAAGGTTGTTGGGAGTTTATTGTATATTTTACCAGTACTTATTAACGAGTGTTGTTAACCTGTATACAAGATGAATATAATTTTCACAAATTGCAAATTTTTTGATGGACAACATGACCCCCTGTAATGTTAATGAAAGTATAAAGTAATACATCCCAATATATTATGACATAAATATTGTTAGTTCTTTTTTTTGTGATTTTTTTAAAGATAATTTTTGTCTTTAAAAAATCATAAAATCTCCTTTCTGCGTGGACATTTTCAAGGACTAACCTCCACTGCAGAAAGTGATAATTTCAAATTTTTATTATTTTTAAAATTACAAATAATAATGTGTTATTTTTATTTATAAATATAGCTTTACAATTATCTCAAACTTTCAAAATTTAAAATTATGAATGTTAATGAAAGAATTAATGACAATTTAAGAAGAAAAGTATGTGAATCCTGGGTCATGGTTAGCAGTTCTTACTAAGGGAGATCACTATTGAGTATAGTTATAGACCTGCTTAATGCAAGGTTATATGAGGAATTATCTGTGTGAACTGTTGGTAGGTTTTATAGAAGAATCTGTAACCATATAGCTACATGGAAGTTTAATACACTCATTTAAATTTTTAGTACTTACTTAAGTACTAAAAATTTACATGGGTGTATTAAAATAGTACAGATTTGTTTTCTTTTGTAGTTTTATGTATATTTAGTTTAAAACTGGATGTTAAATAATGATTTACAATATTGTATATATCAATATTTGTATAAAAGTGGCCAAAGAGGGTTTATGTATGACCAGAATGCATTCCACTAATAAAATTGATTTTTTAAAGATGTGATCTCAATTATTTTAATGTTTCAATGCAGTTTTATAAGTCTTCTATATATCTCTGCCATTTGGAAGTTTGAGATAATTAATCATTAGAGACAAGAAGCTTATTATTAAATAGCCTTACAAGTTTAAATGTAAATAATTTGTCAGATTAGGAATTATATTAAAAAATTCAATAAAAATAAGTTAAAGAAATATCACTTTAAGGCAGTGATTTTTCAACTGAGTTGCCATGGCACACTAGGGTACTTCAATGACATTTCAAGGATGACACAAAATATAGTGATGAGCAGCACGCAACATAATGCTTTTTACTTGTATTAATAAAAGTTATTGTATATTCATATGTAATAAAAATTATAAATTACGTTACACCTTTTGTAATTATTTTATTGAAAATATTGTGTACAGTTTAAACTAATTGTACATGTATTTATAACGTGCATTAAATTATATAAAGGAGTAGAGGTGCTGCAAGAAAAAATTACCAAGTTGCTGTGCTACTATTAGAAAAAGGTTGAAAAACACTGCATTAAAGATTAATTTTTTAGATATTATTCTTAGTATGATAAATGAATTTCAAATGAAATTAGTTTTGAAAGATTATTATTTTATTAATTTTATTTTATTTTTGTAAATATTTATAGGAAGATATGTTCTAGATCTGTTGGGAATAGATGTAGAAGTTTATTATGCAAGTGAGATAGATCAAGATGCTATAAATGTTGCCATTGTTCAACATAAAACAAATATATTACATTTAGGGCCTATAGAAGAAATTACTGATGCAGAAGTATGAATATTTTTATTATATGATTTGATTTAATTTTGAAATCAAAATTCTTTTTATATTTAATTATGTTCAGATTTTAAGAAAAATTTAATATTCACACAGGACCAGATTACATTCTATTTTGTAAAAAATTTTAAGTTTACACTCTCTAAAAATAAAATATGAGAAAAAAATAGAAATTAAATAATTTTTATTTATATATTCGTTTAATTTTTTTAAACAATAAAAGAATTTTATAAATAAGTAATAATCATAACAGAACATTTTCCTCTGAGCAAGAGAGATGGAATTATACCCTTTCTGATCATATACCCATGCTAAATCTAAAATTGATCTTCATTGAGTGATATCTGATTAAAATAATCTGATATAATTTCAACGTATACTAATTTACATTATTCTTTATTAATAAAATTTTAAGTGTAATGAAAACTTTTGGCCGCCACATTATTAGAAAATTGTAGTTTCTAAAATATTTTTATATATTTCAAACTAAAATTCTAGTAATTAGTTAAACTTAAGGAGGTAAACACACATGGAAAAGTTTTGCTTGAAACTTTTAAATAGATTCTTCGATCTCGATCTAACAAAATCTTTTGGCCACCGGTATTTATAGAAACATCAGAATAGAGAGGGATGCTTGAGTGATGTTCCTTGTTAATTATTTATTTTATTATGTATGTAGTTTATCTTAAAATTGTAATGTAAAATGATGTAGTCTAAAAATTTCCAAAAATATAATATAGACCCATCTAAAAAAGTTAAATAATTCTGAATAACAGTTAAGGGCTTCCATTAATTACATGTACAGTTTAAAGGAGAGAGTTGAGGCATTATCTGCATGGACTTTTTAATGATATTTTAGTGCATTTGACCTTATAAGCATGCTTTCTAGTCATGTGATTAAAACTGTCAAAAAATATTTGCAGAACTTTTTAAGGACATGTCTCCGATGTCCATGAACTATAGTTCATGTAATTAAAAGGGAAAGAATTTGCCAAAATTACATCACTGTACACAACATGGAAGAAGGGGGTAAATATAACTTAAAAACTGTACACGTATTAATGGATGACCCCTAATTTAGTTATATTTTGTAAAACTATATTTATTTATTAAAAATAAAATATAATAATTTAATATAAAATATAAATCAAAGTAATTTCATTCATAAAGGTGCTAGCAACTAGTCCGTGGCTCTGTTACTTATGTTCAGAATATGATCCTGAATTAAATGGTTTAATTCGAAAAAAAGAGGAATGGCAACAAAATGTGATGCAGCTGTTTCAACCAGAAAAACATGTACAGTTACCACCATCAATGGATGATTACAAAGAAAAAAGGGCAATTAGAGTGCTATCATTATTTGATGGAATAGGAACAGGTTTCTGCCTATAATTTTTATTATGTTAATATTTATACTACAATGTTTTGTAAAATGGATATAGATAGAAAGTTCTCAGTTGATAAAACTTTAGATTTTGTAAATGATAATCCTAGGTAAAAAATACATATAAATACCAAAGTACCAAATATAATGTTTGAAACTTTTTTTTTTATCTTAGTTGGTTATTATAATTTTATAAAACATTTTTTTCTTTTTAATGATTATTCTATTAATTGTATAATGCAGGGGTCACTCTGGCTCTTTTATAGCAATCACTAACCCATTGACCAAACACATTTTTTTATTTGCCAAAACAGAATGTTGTTTGCCAGGTTATTTTTTCACTTACTGTGATTTATTGTACCAATCTGAAATGAAAGGACAACTGACAATATAAAAAAAAAAAATGCAGAGTTTTTTTATGACTGAGTTTCTCAAGCAACTTTATCTTTGTTTATTAACAGTAGACCAAGACCAATTCATGTCTGTGATACTCTTTTTTGCCAAGTAACTTTTTTCCAGACTGTGCTCTGGCTATCTGCCTCTCCAATCACCAGATGAATATAAATTGTAGTATTTTAAAATATTTTACTGGTTATTTAAAGGTTGTTGGGAGTTTATTGTATATTTTACCAGTACTTATTAACGAGTGTTGTTAACCTGTATACAAGATGAATATAATTTTCACAAATTGCAAATTTTTTGATGGACAACATGACCCCCTGTAATGTTAATGAAAGTATAAAGTAATACATCCCAATATATTATGACATAAATATTGTTAGTTCTTTTTTTTGTGATTTTTTTAAAGATAATTTTTGTCTTTAAAAAATCATAAAATCTCCTTTCTGCGTGGACATTTTCAAGGACTAACCTCCACTGCAGAAAGTGATAATTTCAAATTTTTATTATTTTTAAAATTACAAATAATAATGTGTTATTTTTATTTATAAATATAGCTTTACAATTATCTCAAACTTTCAAAATTTAAAATTATGAATGTTAATGAAAGAATTAATGACAATTTAAGAAGAAAAGTATGTGAATCCTGGGTCATGGTTAGCAGTTCTTACTAAGGGAGATCACTATTGAGTATAGTTATAGACCTGCTTAATGCAAGGTTATATGAGGAATTATCTGTGTGAACTGTTGGTAGGTTTTATAGAAGAATCTGTAACCATATAGCTACATGGAAGTTTAATACACTCATTTAAATTTTTAGTACTTACTTAAGTACTAAAAATTTACATGGGTGTATTAAAATAGTACAGATTTGTTTTCTTTTGTAGTNAAATATTTATCAATGGTGTCCAATTATCAGATTGAGACTTGAATGTTACTCATAATGTAAATACATATATTGTACACAATTAATAAATATTTTACTGGATCAAGAACAGAGCATGACCAGATTGTAAGTGACTTGGAAATATGGATTGAATCTAAAGTTACTCAAAGTATATTTCTAAGTTAATGTTGATATTTCATTGATATAGTCTGGGTTTTGCATTACATCAAATTTGACTCCATGACTTCATCTTCATATTGATTGACATAAAGTGGCAATTTACTTTTGTAAATGACAGTTAAAAGAATTTTGTATTATTGCTATGTTATAAACTTAATAATTTTGCCATAAGTACAGAATAAGCTTTAAGTCTAATAATATTAGGGTACTAGAAATTTTTGATGATAACATGGAAAATTCATGGAAATTTACAATGACAAATTGCTGTGAATCCTAATTCTACATTCTAAAAATTACCTGAAGATGGATAAGATTTCAAAAGTATTTAAGTTTGTTTAATTTCCTAAGTTTTTAAGTTTATGTTCTATTAAAACAAATGTTTCTGAACAATTACAAGATTGATAATTTTTAAATTCCAACTAGATAAATTATATTTAAGATAAAAATTAAACAAGTTGTTGAAAATGTACCCTTTTATGTAATTTAATTTAACTAGTTATTGTTATATTTACTTTTATAGATGTTTGTATTGCTTGTGATTCTTCTTCAGTGGAAATTGTAGAACAACATCCACTTATTCATGGTGGTCTTTGTAAACAATGCAAGTATGATATTGTAGAAACAATGTTTGCTTATGGAGACGATGGCACAAATGTATGTTAAATGAAATTTATTTATAATTTATATGATTTGATCATTTTTTTTCAATTTTTAAATTAGCAATAATAATATAATGGAAAAGTAATGATCTTTCAGGCATATTGTGTGATTTGTGGTCAAGCTGGAGAGCTTCTCATCTGTGATAATAATGAATGCAATAGGTATGAACATTTATTTAATTTTTAAAGTTTTAATTAAAATCAATTATGATATTGAATTTTTGAAAATGATTTGTTCTAAGTTTTTGCTCATCTGTGCTAAGTCCATTATTATAGAACTATAAGCTGTAATCTATCAAAACTGACAGGAAAAAATACAAGATTTTTACCAAAAATTACGCAATTTTTAACTATAAAACTTTTTAATCACAACATTTCTCATAAAGACTATATTGCTTTCAATGATTTGCATATATCTTCATCTTGCTTCTACTATATAAACTTTAAGTTCTTGTAGTTGCAGTAACCTAATCCTAGCTACACCCCAATTTTGTCGGTCTTTGAATCTGAGCTTGCAAAAATTGATAAAATTGATCTATTTTAACTTGCAATAAAAAATATTGTTCTCCACAGATAACATTATCAAGTGAACTTTGTCAATGCAGTATTGGAATCTCGCTTTCAAAACAAAGAAAGTCCAACTTTTTTGGCGCTTGTGATAAAATTAATTTAAAATGAAAAATGGTTGAGGCATATATAATTTTTTAAATTTAAATATCAGTAAAACATGGTTTACCAAACCAGAAAATTATTTTAAAAATAAAGCTGAAATGTTTTTATATATAGTCACATTTTTTTAATGGGCCAAAGCTGCCAAATTTCCGCTTAGTTTCCAATATATTGTTTGATTCTAGCAATATGTTGACGTATGGTATTACATTCCATTTTTTTATATTCTGGCCCATTTCATGCAATTGTGAAGATTGAGTATTGACACAATGCTGACAAAAGCAATATACAAAATTTAATACCACGACACAATTGGTGAACAGATACAGTTAATACAACTTTATTTATACAGAACAAGTGTTGCAGGATCGTTTGTCGGGATCCCAACTAAGGTTGGATACCAGTGAATTTTCCCCATATTGGGAGTGCATGCAGTTACAGACCAAACAAAAGAAAAACATCTCGAGCATAACAGAAATAACCCAAAATTAATATTACCTTAAAACTACCTTACAATCTAAATAAGAGAAAAGTAGGATACAGAAATTAGGATAGAGATAGAAAGATCAATAATGAAAATACCTGGGATTTTGTCTGGGGATACTGTTCTTCACTTGCGAGATGGAGTCCACAATGAATTCTTCTGGCTTTATGATTTTCCATTTTTCATCACAAATATAATTCTGTTGCTTATCCAACTTTGTGTTGATTGAAAGTCTCGTGTTTGGAAAGGAGCACTAATAAAATTTATGTCCTGTCAAGCCATACTGTACTCGCTGAAGCTTAACCTGTTTTGCTCTTCCATTATTACCTTCTC